TGGGCAGCGGTGTGGCTGGGATGCTCAAGAAATTGATTGGTACGTAAGGCAGGGTAAGGAACCCTTTACAACACAGTCTTGTTCCTGCTGCTTCCACTCTAGCCATGTCCCTGGAGCAAGCTGGTGCTGAGACAGGCCAGCAGGACAAATGGGCTTACTCAAGTTTAGGATCCTGGCTTTGTTTTAGATCAAAGGATACACTAAGTCTGATCATGTTTCAACACTCTATTTTACCTATTCACAGGATAAGGGGAGGGGGGAGTGGACATTTTATTAGCATTAGAGAGGGGTTGCTGCTCTGTCACTAAGAACAGTACTACTTAGTGAACATCCAGATGTGAGCCACATACCCATAAACATTAGCACTCGTTCTCACAAGATTCCTGTTTTGTAGGTGACTCTTTGCACAGTGGGTGAGGAGTGGGATCAGGTTTAGAACCCACTTCCCTCGGCCTCTGGATCTTCCCTTTGTTTTTTCTGTTAGGATACCTGAAATCTGGATTTTCCTTTGCCAGTGAACTTAAAATAGCCCTATAGGGTTTTTGTTGGGCACAAGATGTCATTACAGTATTTGCTTTGTGGAAGCGACTACAGGGAAATTCAGGGGCCTTGGCTGCAGATGGTGGGGGTTACCTGGGGCCAGAATACCACTGAGTGCTTATGAAGTTCCTCAGAGTTCAAGGCAAGGTGGGGACAGGAAGGCTTTGTTTTGGGCTCTTATGTCCATTTTATAGATGTGGAAACTGAGGCTCAGAGAGGGTAACTGGTTTTCCCAAGGACATGTACCTGGCCTAAAAACTGACCCTTTCAGATTCCAAGCTCAAGCCTTGTCTTACTCCACCAAGCTGTTCCCAAGGCCCTGAAACCCTCTGGACTTCTTCCCTATCTGGAAATTCCTCAGTACAAGAGCTTCGTGGGGGCTTTCATGGTCACTGTCTCCCCAAAAGATGTAGAACCCCCGATGAGATCCCAAGTCACAGAAATGTGTGATTGTGGGTGCCTGTTTACCTTATAGGCCCACCATGGGGAGCAGTTTGTGGTTTGGAGAACACTGACTGTAGTAGGGGGGCTGCTGCTGACTGGGTGGGATGCCACCATATTCAGTTGGGTGCCTTCAGAGCTGGGCCCATGACACAGTATGTGTTTACGAGTATACACATTGAAGCCATAGGCCCAAGTTTTCAAAATAGACTACCTTCCTGCTTTGGTGATGAATAGCTGTTGACAGGTGTGAGTCTGCCCCTGCTTTTATCTAGGGTGTTTATGTGTGCCTAACTTTGTGCTAGGTATCTTCCACCTGCATCTCATGTAATTTTCACAACAATTCTGTGAGGTTGGTGGTACTGTTGAGGAAGGTGAAGCTGCTTGGCCTGGACAACCAGCTAGAAGAAGAGACGCCAGATTCAAACCTGTGTCTGACTCCGAACTCTACTTCCACTCCTGTCCACTGCTATACGCACCACTAGGAGTGGATAGTCTCTCCTCTGACCCAGATAAATTAGAAAGGGTGCGGGGGGCGTGGGGCTCTGTCCCTTAGAGTGTTTGGTCTCAGCAGACCCATTTCATAGTTCTTGCCTGAGTGTTTGAAATATAGCGATGATAGCCTTTGGAAACCATCTCAGGACAACCAGAAAGTTGTTCTTTTTAAAAATTCTGCTCTTCTTCAGAAATGACTGCTGAATATGCCTGCACGAGGAAACAGTTTAACAGGAACCTCAGTGAATTTGGATTAATTCAGGTACTGAAGGTTATGTACAAGTGGCACATTTGTTGATTTTACTGTGGGCATTGAAAATATGCTTTCACTGTCTTTACTGGTGACTCCTTTGTAGTGATTGGGAAAGGACTTTCTTTAATGTGATTTCCTTTTATGAATTCTGGAGCTTGGTTCTTTTATGCAGTGAGGCTTTGGACTTAATTACCTTCTCTGCTGTTTGGCAGATTTGGTTCTCAGCACATGTAAATTATTTCTTGCTTGTGCTTTTTTCTGAATACTGCAGGAAAAGTTTGCCTTGATGGCTCAAAAGGCTTATGTAATGGAAAGTATGGCCTACCTCACTGCAGGGATGCTGGACCGACCAGGGTTTCCTGACTGCTCTATCGAGGCTGCCATTGTGAAGGTAATCCCAGCACAGCCAGAGGGAAGCTGAGAAAAGCTCCTTAGCCACAGCTGGTCAATGTGGTCGAGGAAAGAAAAGGACTTCTTTGAGGCCACCCAGTGAGACCATGACTGTCAGAGCTGCTGCCTGGGTTGGTCTCATCCCAAAACCCAGTTCTCCGTACCGAGCCTCCCACTCTATCCCCAGCCACACCATTCCCATCCTGAGGTCCTCCCTTTGGAAGGGAGCTGGCACCAGTGATGCCATGTTGACCTTGCTCCTGGGTCCTTAACAGGTGTTCAGTTCAGAGGGCGCCTGGCAGTGCGTGAGTGAGGCGCTGCAGATCCTCGGGGGCTCGGGCTACATGAGGGACTACCCATATGAGCGCATGCTGCGTGACGCTCGCATCCTTCTCATCTTTGAGGTGTGTATATGTCCTGCTGCCAGCTCCACCTTGCTCCACTGTGGACCCTTGAGCCTCCTGGTTCTGGGCCCAGGCTGGCTTGTGCGTTCTCTCATTTGACCCTCCTCACAACCTTGTCTAGACATCATTCTGCTGATGAGGAGGCTGAGGCTGAGAGGCCAAGCAGCACACGCAGGGTCCCACTCCCAAGCCACAGGTCTTTGCCAACTTGCTTCTACCAGCCGAGGTGGGACAAGCAAAGATCTTCTTATAGACATCTGGGTTCAGCCTTGAATGCTCTCTCTGGGTCTGGGTTTTCTCAGTATATTGAGTCAGCTTAACAGGGTCATCTCTTCTCCAGCCCAACACTTCTCACTCTCTAATTGCTGTCCACCATGAGTTCACAAGCCTAAAGAGTCAGTTCATTCAGTATGTGCTGGGAGAAACCCAGGGTGGGAAAGAAAGAAGGGTTGGGGACACAGACACCTTAGACACTATCCTGGAACCTTTGGGGTGCTAGTGATCTTGACTGTGCAGCCTTACTGACCCAGGAGGAAACCAAAAACCAGGGAGTGAGGGACAATGGCATGCCTCTCTTGAGGGGACTGGAGTCTCGAAGCAAGTGCACTTGGCCCTTAGGGTCAGAAGGACTTTGACCAGGCCTAGGGGAGGGCAGTTTGGGCCAAGGGCAGGGAACTAGAACATGCCAGACCCAGACAGGATCTTACCTGCCAGCACCAAGTGAATGGGAATAGAATAAACAAGTCTTTGGAGTAGTGGCCAATCCTGCTGGGTGGGGCTAGGGTAGGTGGTGGAGTATGTGAGGGATAGATGGAGGGGAGACCAGTAGCCAGGTTGTAGAGGACCTTGGATCTTATTGTGAGTGTGGTGGAAGCTATAAAAAGTCACAGCCCTGCTTGCAGCGGCCTCTACACTGCGGGTGAGTGGGCAGTAGCATGGCCCATTCACACACATGCAGTAGGCTGGTGCTGCCCCCTAGGGCAGCCTCTGACCTCTCTACTGCTCGCACAGGGAACTAATGAGATTCTCCGGATGTACATCGCCCTGACAGGCCTGCAACATGCCGGCCGCATCCTGACTGCAAGGATCAGGTAGGTGCCATTTCCACTCTGCTCCTCGAGTCCCTGGGGTGGCAAGGGTGGGGTGAGGCAGTGCAGGCTTACATAGCTGAGCTTATTTGTTGGCTGGCTGGAGAGAAGGAAGTGGGCAGGAGCCTAGGCTAGTGAGAGTGGGGCCTTGAAAGAGTTCCAGAGCTTGGCCTTCTCCTGAGGGTGATAGGAGGGGCCAGCTGCTCAGGGAATTCCTCATCACCTTGCCCTTGTGATCACTTTCCTGGTAGCCCCTGTTTCCTACACTACAGGAGCTCTGCTTTCAGAACCTGGGGAATGAGATGTGCCCCTTAACAGGTGCTGGACTCCAAGGCCAACACAAGACCAGTTTCTTCTCTCTCTCCCTTGACCTCTTGCTCCCCTTGACCCCCATCCTGGGGCCAGAGAAGTTAGAAATCACTGCTGAAGCCCAAGTATGAGTTGCTCAGATATTTTGCAGATTATTTAATGGGAGAGAACTACCTAGAAGCTGGCTGTGACTCAGCTCCTTGTGGAGGGAGCACCTGTGTGTCTCCACCTCAGAGGAGACTGGCTGCTTTCTGACAGGCTGGAAGAGCTTAGACTGCAGCCAGGTGTCCAGCATGCCCAGGCTGGGGGAGGGACACTCCGGGCCTGGATTGGCTTTTTATGGCTTTGCATAGTCAAGGAGTGGGAACAGATCTGGTGCCCTAGATCTCTGGGGTACCAGGGAGGAGAGAGTTGTGTTGTTGGACAGCAGAAGAAGTAGCAGGGCTTTGGGTCATGGGACCCTGGGCTTTCTGCAGTGAGCTCAAACGAGGCAACGTGACCACTATTCTTGAAACTGTTGGCCGGAGGCTTCGGGACTCCATGGGCCGAACTGTGGACCTGGGGCTGACAGGAAAGCTCGGAGCTGTGCATCCCAGTGTTGCGGTGAGTGAGCCCAGCAGGTGTAGCCTGTTGGATATCTCCTTTCCAGAAAGAATGCGACCAGGGGCATTGGGGAGGACCAGCTGGTCTGAAGGACAGCTGATAACCCTTTTTCTCCACCCTGTGATGATGGAGAATAGCCCAGCATGGTATCAGAGCCTGGGCCTTAGATGGGACAGGATGGGTACCATGAGGAGGAGGTGCTGAGCTGAATCTTTTCTTTTGGTCTACCAGGAGAGTGCAAGCAAACTTGAAGAGAATGTTTATTACTTTGGCCGCACTGTGGAGACGTTGCTGCTCCGATTTGGCAAGGTACCCAGGCCCCTGCTGGACCCAGGGATGGCAGGCCCTCTAACTTAGGGGTCAGGAAGATGAGGGTAGCATCTATGAGATGATGTTTTACCAAATGTTCACCTTAGGAACCAGGCCTAGAAAGAAAGCTTTGTCACCATGGAGGGGTGGTTGGGGTGGCAAAGTGGCTGTGACTGCTTGTCCAAGGGGCCACTCAGCTAGCTGAGTGATCAACTTCCAGGTGAAGAGATGCTCCCTGCATTTAGAGGGAGCCCTACTGGGGCCTGAATCTCAGGACCTGATCTTTGAGGTTCTTGCTGCTGAAGGTGTATTAAGCACCAGCCTCTGGTCTCAGCCAGGTTCCTAGAACCTGGTCTTGCCTTGACTCCTGCCCAAATCTAGACAGAACGAAGGGAAAACAGAAGGCGTCCATGAGCCAACCTCCTACAACCCCCATAGGGAAAGGCAATATTAGCCCCTCCCTGCCAGGACATAAAGTGAGGCTCAGAGATGGGCAAAGATGTGCCTGAGAATGTGTGTGTGTGTGTGTGTGTATGTTTTGAGTGGTCCCAGGTAATGGGTCTCCATTCTGGGCCTCTGTGTTCCCAGACCATCGTGGAGGAGCAGATGGTCTTGAAGCGGGTAGCTGACATCCTCATCAACCTATACGGCATGACGGCTGTACTGTCTCGGGCCAGCCACTCCATTCGAGCAGGACTTCGGAACCATGACCATGAGGTGAGCCCTGCCCTACTCCACCTTACCCACATATAGGCAGCCTCCTGCTGGCTTTGTCCTACTGCACTTTAGTGAGGCCCGATGGTTGGGAGAAGGGGTCAGTGGGTGGCATGGCTCAGTCAGGAAATCTCAGGTGAGAGGGCTGGGCAAGTCAAGGGCTCAGCACCCACTTGTGGTCCCTGAGTGGGTAAAGTGCAGGGTCCATAAAGCAACTGACTTGGAGGCTAGCGAATTTGCTGATTTGTGGCTGTGGCCTGTGGTGAGCACTGCCAGCTCTAATGGGAGGGTTTGTACTGCTCAGGACACCGCCATTCCCTTTCATCTTCCTACTTGACAGAATCGGGTGGGTGAGTAATAGAGTCCCAAACCCAGCGTCCTTACCCTGTCTGCCCTCCTCACCCTGCTAGAGGTGGTGGGTGCAGTCACTGAGTGCCTGCTATGTGTTTGGTCTTTACATGCATTGTCCTACAGTAGCCCATGGCCACAAGAATTATGATGTCCATCTTGCAGAGGAGAAAACTAAGACTCAAAGATGTTGAATAACTTGCCCTTGGGACAGAGGTAGTTTGGCTCAGGGCTAGAATTAGAACTTATTACTGTGTGACTTCTGAGCCTGGCCTTTGACCCCAGCCAACTGCCTAGTAGTTCTTTGAAGCTCAGAAGTCAGACACCAGGGAGGGAGTGCCCATGGCCCAGAGATGCCAGGGTTCTCTCCAACTTTGGTTCTGGCAGGTTCTTTTGGCCAACATCTTCTGCGTGGAAGCTTATTCCCAGAATCTCTTCACCCTGTCTCAGCTGGACAAGTGTGAGTAAGGTGGCTGGGGGGAGGGAGGAAAGGGTCTGATTCCAGGCAACTGACGGTGAGCTGTTTCTGGACCCTGTCAGGCTCCCAGGGCCTGGTGGCTACTTAAACTTCTGCCTTGAGTAGGACTCATGCTGACTTGCAGCGAGGCCTGCTGGGCAGGAGCATATACCTGCAGATGAGAGCTCTGTCAGAGACCCCATGCAGGCCCTGCTGGCATCTGCCTCGGGAAGGTTCACAAAGGAGGCATTTTACCTGCCTTTAAACCCCTGCAATGCAGTGGAAATGAAGCTGCTTTTCTCACAGATGCCCAGGTTGCAACCCTAGACCATGTAGGGGCTTTGCTTGTGCTGCTCAGTTTGTCTAGAATGCTCTTCCTCTTCCATAGCCATATGGCCATGTCTTAGAATGTACAGCTCAAATTCTTCTGACCCTTACAGTCCTGCTGACTTCAAAGCTTTGTGTTATGTGTTCCCCATACAGCCCAGCCCTGTTGCCAAGAGATGATGGTGAAGGGCACATAATTTGTAGTTCCTGGCTTTGGGCACTGGCCCGTTAATGTGCTATGTAGTATGAGGCAATAGTTTCTCCTGCAATAGGTTTGAATCGCAAAAGGGTCTTTTATTGAGCAGGTGCCTTCTCCTGTACTCCTTCTCTCATAAGATCTGGATTTTTTAGGGATTAATTGGATGAGCCCTTTGTTATTCAGAATGAAGCCTGTATTACTTCCTGGGGGTTTAGAGGGGTGGTAGAGTCACCCACAGGCTGACGTTGCTGGAAAAAAATGCTTCAGCAATATTTCTATTATCACAGTGCAGAAACATCATCCACTGCCTCTTTTCCCCTCCCAGATTCTCCAGAAAATCTAGACGAACAGATCAAGAAAGTATCCCAGCAGGTCCTAGAGAGGCGAGCATACGTCTGTGCCCACCCTTTGGACCGGATGTCCTGAAGCAGAGGGATGATGTATACTGCTGCTGCCACCCCCCAGGCCATAGCCTGTTGCTGGACAACTTTCACTCTTTTTGCTAGAAGATATAGAACTTGGAGTTATTCCAACTTGAGCCATTTCTTCCTAGTCTTCACCTGAAGGCTCCTAAGGGAGCCTTGTCTAGGCTTTGACCTGTGGCCACTACTGCCTGACATGATCGCAGGATCTGAAGAGAGGTGGAGAGAGAATGAAATTGCTGAGACCTGTGATCTGAGGATATACTGCTAGTTTAGGAGACTTCACCGTGGAAACTGGGACTGGTGCTGCTTTGTGGCTTGCAACTGTGGGGACCTTTTCCAGGCATGCTTAACCTTTTCTGCTAGGCCACACATTCTCCAAGAAACACCTTGAAAACTGTGTACATGTCATTTATTCATACTAGAAGCAAAATGCACTTAAAACATGTACCAGGAACCATTTATTAAAAAAGAATGTAAAATGGCAGTTTGTATTTACCCTTCAAGCATTTGCTGTACTAGTTGCATTTTCTTTCAGAACGCGACCCTGAGAACCACCCTTTGGTCATGGCTTCCAACTCTTTTTGTCCTCACCCCATGAGAAGAAAGCCCTCAAAGCTGAGCGGCAGGTGCCCAGTACAGGACCATGGGGGTTATGAACCCTCTGTTTGGTCCTTCTCAGGTGATGGGTGGAAAACCACATTGCCTGGTATAAGACAACATATTTTTGTTCCCCACCTGGGCTTTTTTTCTTTCTTTGCAAGGATTGGCCTCTACTTTTGAAGTGAGGGAAAAAGTATCTTTAATTGGCACTAAAAGTCCTCTGCATTTCTCCAGAATGCTCCCTTCTGTTATTTCTAGATGTACTGGGTCCCAGCATGCTTATGGCAGGTTTCAAGCTTTGGTCTGGTTCCTGGGTAGTTTGGGGCTCCTCCCCAAAAAAATCCATTGTAGATGTTGTCTTGAGGTAGGAGGAGGAAGCTAAGCTGTCTCCTATGATGCAAGAAACAGTCAGAGAGAAGATTGGGAATGATAATGCCTGAGCTGGCCTAGTGGGGTTGCCTGAACATTCTGCCAGGGTTTTGGTAGCTAATCTTCAAGAGGAGAACGTTTATAAATATTGTAACTTTGGAAATAACTTTCCAATGAAATTCAAAGTTCCTGAGGTATTTCGTTGGCAAGGAGGCATTTTGCACGAAATGGAAAGTACATATCTTTTCACATAGTGCTAGGGAAAGGAGGTTCATGGAGCTCCTTTTCAGGGAAAAGCTTGGGAAGCTTGCAAATTTCACTCCCTTTGGACACCCCTCACTCTAAGCCTTGTGGCATGTAAGTCTCATGTCAGCAGCAGGTTCTCTCTTCGTCCAGTTGAATTTGAAAGGCTGAGGCCACCAGTTTAAGTCTCCCTTTTCTACCTGCATTTCTGAGATTTTCTTAAACATGTTGTGGGAAAGGGGGGCCCCAGCAAGCACTTGTTATATGTTTTCAGCAATATGCACAGGCTACTTGAGATGCCTAGGGAACTTGCGCATAGAAGGCTTGCAGTAGAGCTCACCAGAAAACTCTGGATAGTGAGACAAACCTAGCATTCCTGGGCTGGACCACAGCAGTGACTCGGAGCCTGGGACACACCAAAAGGTAGCAGATCTTCACACAGCTCCAGAGCCTGGGGCTTGTTCTGAAGGGAGGCAGCAAGGTCCAAATGAGGGGAGAGAGAAATTTCAGCAGCCTGTCAGTACTTCCTCCTATTTCATGGAGCTGTCACCAGCTTCACTTGGGAGTTGGGGAAAGAAATTCGTCCTGTTTATCTCATCTTGATTTCTGAGAATGTTCTCTGGCAAACTTTATTGCCAGATAAGCCCATCGCTTTCTCCCCATTCAAAAGTTCTGGATCTGTTAACCAATAAATTTGGGTTCTCTATCAACCTATAAGTGATCTTGATGTCCTTCATAAACAGAGGGATAGAGGGAAAGAAAAGAGGCCTCAGAGGGGTGATGTAGCAAGATCCTGGTCTCCCCCGCAGAGGGAAGTGGCAGTGTCCTGACCTGGGAGTTGGTCCTAGTGAAGCCCAGAGAGAGCCTCTGCCCCCAGCTGTTGGCTAGGCTTTCAGAGACCAGTTATGGGTAACACAGTGTTGAAGCTTGGAAAGCCCTTAGATCTATCTTCCACCTTCCCATTTTATAGTTAAGAAACCAAGTAAGTCACATAGCAAGGTAGTGTTATTAAAGCTGGAAGCAGAATTCAGGTCTTGTATAAAGGAAATTAATATAAATTAGAAGTTTTAGAATTCAATGGGAATATATAGAAATAAATAGTCTTTTGGATAAGTACCTTAGAAACAAAGAATATATAACTTTTAAGTCAGCAAAAGAAAACCTGATCTATCCAAAGAAAGAAAATAGGAGGGACTTAAAATAAGGTGGCCCCCTCCAAAGCCTAATCTTACAGTAAATTGGTTGTTTACCAATTAAAGAATCTTAGATTAATTTTTTTTAAAGCTAACAATATGCTGTCTATAAAAACTGCTTTAGATGAAAGATATGGGTTTCAAATGAAAGGGAGGAAGAACATAAACTAGGCAAAAAGGGACCAGAAAGCCAAGACGAAAAAGCTGGAGTAGCATTCTTAATATATAACTATATAACTCAAGATAAAAATCTGTCAAAAGAGGCACAAAGGATTTTCGTATATTGAGAAAAAGAACAAGAAGATAAAGCTATCATGAACATCTTCTGCCCCTTACAATAGTCTCAAAATTTATTAAGCAACAGCTGGCTGGATTGCAGAGAGAAATAGATATCTGTTTGACATCACCAGAGAGCAATCAAGGCAGCCAGGATTTGAGGTGCCAAGAATCTGGAGAGATGGGAAATATATTTATTTATTTATTTATTTACTTACTTACTTACTTACTTACTTACTTACTTACTTACTTACTTACTTACTGTTTTTCCCCCCAAGGCATTTGTTGATTCTTAAGTTGCATATGAATGACATAAATGAAGCAGATAACCCAAGCAGTAAAAGCAGCTAAGAGGTTCAAATTTTAGGCAGACATTTTTGGAAAGTGTCACTGTGAAAGGGACACAAAAATTGGATTTCAGAGTGTGCCATGAGGAAGAGGCCATGGTAACACTCTGAACTTTCAGTTCAGAATTCAGAAAATCTATGTGTTAGAGGGCAAACCAGGAATGAATCTATTTAAGAGAATTTGTCCTTTATCTGCTAGAAGAAAATTAAATCCTCTGTGGAAGAAGATATCATCAAGAGCCTCTACAATATTCCTACACAATATTCACCATTTAATAAAAATTAACATCCCAAAGCAATCTTGAGAAAGAACAAAGCTGGAGGCATTCTACTTCCTTGTTTCAAACTTTATTACAAAGTTATAGTAGTCAAGAGTATAGTAGTCAAGAGTATATAAAAAAAACTAAAACACACTCACAGATCAGTGGAACATACATGGTCAATTGACAGCAAAAAAGGCAAGAATATACGATGAGGAAAGGACAGTCTCTTCAATAAATGGTGTTGAGTAAATTCAACAGCCACATATAAAAGGATGAAATTGGACTACTATCATACCACACAAAAAATGGACTCAAAATGGATTAAACTCGAACCTAAGCCCCCAGACCATAAAACAGCTAAAAAAAAAAAAAGACAGTAAGCTTCTTGATACTGGTCTTGGCAATAATTTTTTTGATCTGACACTAAAAGCAAAAATAAACAAGTGAGACTACACCAAACTAAAAAGCTGCAAAATGAAGGAAACCAAAAAAAGTGAAAAGACAACCTACCAAATAGGAGAAAAGAACTGCAAATTATATATCTGATAAGGCAGCAGTCCCCAGCCTTTTTGGCACTAGGGACTGGTTCTCCTATGAGAATCTAATGCCTGATGATTTGAGGTGGAACTGAGGCAGTGATGCTAGTGCTGGGGAGCAGCTGCAAATACAGATGAAGCTTCACTCGCTCTCCATCTTCTCACCTCCTGCTGTGTGGCCAGATTCCTAACAGGCACAAACCAGTACCGATCTGCGGCCTGGGGTTTGGGGAACCCTGTATAAGGGGTTAATCTCCAAAATATGTTAGGAATTCGTACAACTCAATAGGGAAAAAAACAATCCAATTAAAAAATGGGCAGAGGATATGAATAGATATTTTTCCAAAGAAGACATACAAATGGGCAACAGGTAAATGAAAAGATGCTTAACAACACTAATCATTAAAAGAAGTGCAAATGAAAACCACAATGAGCTATCACCTGACACCTGTTAGAATGGCTATCATCAAAGACAAGAAATATGTGTTGGTAATGATGTGAAGCAAAGGGAACACTTATTTTCTGTTGGTGGGAATGTAAAGTAGTGTACCCACTATGGAAAATAGTATGAAGGGTCTTCAAAAAAATTAATAATGGAACTATCATATGATCTAGCAATTCCATTTCTGGATATTATCCAAAGGAAACAAAAACACTAACTCAAAAAGATATCTGCACCCCTATGTTCACTGCAGCATTGTTCATAATAGCCAAGACATAGAAGTTACCTAATTGTTCATCAGTAGATGAATGGATAAAGAAGATATGAGACACACATCACAACTGAACATTATTTGGCCATAAAGAAAGAAGGAGAAAGTCTTGTCATTTGTGACAACATAGACCTTGAGGGCATTAAGTGAAATAAGACAAAGGCAAATTCTGTATGATCTCACTTCTTTGTGGAATCTAAAACAACAACAAAATGAAATAAAAGATACAGAGAAATTAGGTGATTGCCAGAGGCAAGGGATGGCAAAATGGATGAATGTGCTCAGAAGGTACAAACTTTCAGTTATATAAGTCATGGGGTTGTAGTATACAGCATGTAGTTAATATTTGAAAGTTGCTAAGAGTAGATCTTAAAGCGTTCTCAGCAGAAGAAAAAACTTTGCTATGTGTGGTGGTATATGTTAACTAGACTTACTGTGATCATTTCACAATATATAAAAATATTGAATCATGTTGTAAATCTGAAACTAATGTAATATGTCAGTTATATCTCAATTAAAAAAAATTAACACATGCCAGGAAACAGGACCAAATGGTGAAAACCAAGAGAAAAGGCAGACAATAGAAAGAGACCCAAGATAATCCACATATGGATTGATCAGACAAAGACATTGAGGTACTTATAATTAATAAAATGAGATAAGTAAATGAAAAGGTAGAGAACTTAACCAAGATACTGAAATCTATAGGAAAATCAAATGGTCATTTTAGAGTCAAAAAAATAAAATCATTCACTGTATAGGTTTAATAGACTAGACAAATAGCAGAAGAAAGGATTAATGAGTCAGAAGAGAGATTGGTTGAAAATATCCAGATTGAATCACACATATATACACAAAAGATGGAAAATAAAAGTATCAGATATATAAGCAATAAGATATAGCTCATTGTAGAAATATCTTGTCATTAGAATTCCAGGAGAAGAGAGAGAGAGAATATGAATA